TCTCTTGAGTAAAGCATGGTGTTACTTTTTGAACATCTCTGGTTTTTGTTGCATGTAAAAAATGGTCTTGCAAGGCCTAAAATCCACAGTCCCCTTCGGAGGGCGATCATGTGCAAACCAACTACAGTTTTGTACGTGATAGTCTTAAAGGGGCGGGACATCTCTTAAAGCGGCTTGACCAATTTTCACAAACAGAGCCGGCGCTAACCATTTCAGAGCAGAATGGGCTTCTTGGTTTTTTTTCGACAGAAAGGTTTGACAAAAGAAGGTGCTTGCAGCACAGACAGTATTTGAGAACACAAAGGTTTTTGAACTTTACAGAATATGGAGACATTGTAGAGACACTACATACTTTGATATCACCCCTGAACATCAGCAGGAGGATGGAACTCTTTAAGTTAAAGACGACACTACATACTGGATATACACCTGAACATTCAGCAGGAAAAGGAGGACTTCTTAAAAGTAGAGCACACATACTGTAACAAAAAAAAACCTGAACCATTCAGCAGGATTTTTAGGCTCTTTTAAGTTAGAGCACACTAACAAACATGATAAAAAACACCTGGGAAAAACATTCAAGCAGAGAGGACTCTTTTAAAAAAGTAGAGGACACTAATACTGATATACCCCTGAACATCAGCAAGAGAGGACTTTCTTTAAAGTTAGAGACACTACATACTGATATCACCTAAAACATCAGCAGGAAGATGGACTCTTTTTTAAAAGTGGACTACTACATTACTGTATACAACCTTTGAACATCCAGCAGGGAGAGGACTTCTTTTAAAGTTAGAGCACACATACTGTACAACCTGGAAAACATCAGCCAGGAAAGAGGAACTTTCATTTAAAGTTTAGAGACACTAACCTACTGATTATACCCCTGGAACAATTCCAGCAGGAGGAGGGGAAATTCTTTAAAGTAGAGACACTACATTACTTTCACTTATTACCACCTGACATCAGCAGTGAGGGACTCTTTAAAGTAGAGCACTACAAATAACCTGATATTACACCTGGAACATTCAGTAGGTGGAGGAACTCTTTAAAAAGTATTGCACTCAAAACTGATATTATAAACCTGCATCGCGAGGAAGAGGACTCTTTAAAAAGTAGAAGCACTACAAATACTGATATTCACCCTGAACATCAGTAGGAGAGGACTTCTTTAAAAGTAGTGACACTACATACTGATTATAAAACCCTGAAACATCAGGCAGGAAGAGGACTCTTTAAGGTAGAGACACTACATACTTGATATAAACCTGAACATCAGCAAGGAGAGGACTCTTTAAAGTAGAGACACTACATACTGATATTAACACCTGCACATCAGCAGGAGGAGGGGACTCTTTAAGTAGAGACACTACATACTGATTATACACCTGCACATCAGCAGGAGAGGACTCTTTTAAGTAGAGGACCTACATTACTTGATATAACCTTGAACATCAGCAGGAGAGGAGTGACTCTTTAAAGTAGAGACACTTACATACTGATATACACCGGAACATCAAGTAGGAGAGGACTCCTTTTAAAGTAGAGACACTACCATACTGATTATATAGCACCTGTCACATCTAGCAAGTTGAGAGGACTCTTTAAGTAGAGACACTACCATGTAAGGGGAAACTATTTCTGCAGCAAGCTGGAGAGTCGGGACTTCAGAGAGACACGAGGAGAGTTGGAGCTTTTGATCTCAAACAATGATTGTTTATTTAACAGTCAACGGGCCGGAGAATTCATATCACCAGTCCAGCCAGCAAAAGGTTCTGACTGCCACGGTGGGTTGTCGTGTCAACTCTGCCCCAGCTATCTTCTATCGGATTAGACCTTTTAACTAGATTTACAGAGGGGTCAAATCCCACATATTTAGGATGGCGTAAACATCTGCAGACCACAGGAGATTGTCTCTCACCATCTGTGGAGCTTACAAAGCAGCGTTCTTCACAGTTGGTCAAACCCCCCCCTGTGCCCACCGGATTCAGGCCATAAAACCTAGTATAACATACGAACTGCATTAACACATTCCTTCACGGGCAAGATTAGAAGCAGGGATGGTCGTAAATGTCAACACACAGAATAAGGTTAAATATCTTAGGAGTAAGGAAGAATTATTCTTTGACACTTAGGAGTAAGACAGAAATATTCCCTTACACTACATACTATTATTAATCTGAAATTAGCATGATATGACATCCTCTTTCATTCCTATTATTTATGTGTTCTCATTCAGGATAAAGCTGGTGTTCTTAGCATTTTCCTTGTCAACAAATATTAACGAAAGACCACAACTAACAATGTTTACAGTCCGTCTCTCAGCTGTTTCTGATAATCCCTACCAGTCAGTAGACAGGCTCAGAAATATCAGGAACCTAACCCTAACGTTTGGTCGTCAACATCTTGATTGTTTTACTTTTTTTTAACCGTAACCAAGTACTTTTGTTGCCTTAACTCAACCGCAGTTTCACAACGTTCACCACGTAGCATTGTGCGTTTCTGCAAGCGTGATATGAAACGTTTTTGGAAAGTTTTGGAGAAAAAAAAAATCCCTCACACAGTAGTAAAAATGTATTCTGTTAAGGACTATTTTCATCAGCGGATTAAAACACAGTTGCTGCTCTAACAAATATCTCCTGTCTGTTACTCTTAACTGTGCTTTCCTCTTCCAGGTGAGATACCACGAGGACTTTGAGAAGAGTAAGGGCAGCTTCACTCCCACCAGCACAGACCTAACAACTGAGCGTGTGAAGAAGAACACGCAGGAGTTCAGCGACATCAACTACCGTGGTATCACCAGGAAAGTGGTGGAGATGGAGAGGAGGAGGGCCATCGAGCACGACCAGGAGACCACCACCGGTACACAAACACCGTCAAGAAAGAGAAACATTTGTGGAGAAACTGGCTCATATAGACCGTTTAGTTTGATTAAAGAACATTTCATCAAATCATTTCAAAGAGCTTTAAATACATTTTTTGCAAAGATTGTAAATAATGAGAAACCGGCGCACATTTGATTCAAAGACTGAGAAATATCCAACGCCACATATTGAAATGTATGATTTTAAGTCTTTAAATGTGACTGTCTGTTCTCAGATCTGCGTGTCTGGCGCACAAACCCCGGCTCTGTGTTCGACTACGACCCGGCCGAGGACAACATCCAGTCCAGGAGTCTGCACATGATGTCAGGTGAGAGGAAAACTTTAAAAGAATTGTTGAAAGAGATTCAAAGTGATATTTTCCAGCCATGGCTAGTAGGAGGTAAATGTTACACCGGATCTTATTGAATGAATTATTTTACATAATCTTAAAAACGGTTCTTACCTCTGATGTTGTTCAGTGCAAGCTCAGCGCCGCAGTAAGGAGCACTCCCGCTCCACCAGCGCTCTGAGCGGCCTCGCTGACGAGAAGTCTGAAGTTTCCCTGGACCCTGAACACCACATGTCCCACTACAGCAACGGCTTCATGGCCTCCTCCACGGGTAAATACTCCAGATTAAAACCCCAACAATTCTGAAGACAGAGTATTTTTACCAAACACTTCAGATCCTCACACTGCAGTGGGAAGTAGTGGAGTACAAATACTTTGTTACTGTACTTAAGTACATGTTTCTAGTATCAGTACTTTACTCCACTACTTATTTTATCTGACGACTTTTTACTTTTACTTCTTACATGTTGAACACAAATACCTGTACTTTCTACTTCTTACATGTTGAACACAAATACCTGTACTTTCTAATTCTCTCATTTTCCAAACAGGCTGGTTCCTTTAGTCTGAATGTGTGTTTGGTGGCGTGATCATTATTATTTAGAGTCATTGCGTGCCTATCAATTTGAACACGATCCGTGTATCCATCATTTCCTGGTCTTCTCTAAAGAAGAGGGACCAATGAAAACGTTGTCATGTTGCCGTTGGTCACCATGGAAACATTCATTAGCTAACAATGACATTATTNCAAATACCTGTACTTTCTACTTCTTACATGTTGAACTCAAATACCTGTACTTTCTACTTCTTACATGTTGAACAGAAATACCTGAACTTTCTACTTCTTACATGTTGAACACAAATACCTGTACTTTCTACTTCTTACATGTTGAACCCAAATACCTGTACTTTCTACTTCTTACATGTTGAACCCAAATACCTGTACTTTCTACTTCTTACATTTTCCAAACAGGCTGGTTCCTTTAGTTTGAATGTGTGTTTGGTGGCGTGATCATTATTATTTAGAATCATTGCATGCCTATTGATTTGAACACGATCCGTGTATCCATCATTTCCTGCTCTTCTCTAAAGAAGAGGGACCAATGAAAACGTTGTCATGTTGCCGTTGTTCAGCATGGAAACATTCATTAGCTAACAATGACATTATTGTTCTATTAATATAAAGGAGGTCAGGTACTCTTTAAAACGGCTGCTAGTTATGGGTACTTTTTACTGAAGTACATTCGAAGCCCATACTTCTTTACTTTGACTTAAGAAGTTTAGTCAGTACTTATTTTTACACGAGTGTAGAAGCGTACTTCTACTTGAGTAAAGGATGTGTGTACTTTTGCCATCTCTGTACAAGAGCAATCACAAGACAAGACACAGCTGGAGAGCTGAAACACAACAGCTGGTCACAATCAGACAATCAGGAACATGAGGGAAAACACAGCAAGGAAGACAAGAAAAGACACAAGGAGAACAGAATTTCAAAATAAAACCGGAAACTATACACACACCAAACTAAAATCATGAAAAGAGTAACTGCTGTTTTGCATTCTTTCATCTCTTCAAGCCTGCTAATGCATGTTTATTTATTGCATTTCCATATAACAGCAGAGCAGATTATTATGCTGTCATCACTTTGCAAGTACCATATAATATCTGCAAATATCGCCTCTTGAACTGTGGCTTAAAGGTGTATGAATACAGTGATATTTAGTGGTCATGAATGCAGTAATTATCGTGCAGAAGTAATAACAGGTTGCAGACTCAGCACTTAATCCTGCTCCTCCCTGCACATGTTCACAACCCAGCAAACACAGGTCATACACCCACGATCTGGAACAATAACGGAGCGTGCATGCCTGCCCCACCTTGCCTCACAAACCAGGTGGATCACTCCGGTTCTGAAGTCTTTACACTGGCTTCCTGTGTGTCAAATAACTGATTTCTAAATAAATGCTTCATAAAGCATTGAATGGATTAGGGCCAAAGTATATTTCTGACCTCCTGCTAAATTATGAACCATCCAGAACCCTCAGGTGTTGCTTTCTGTCTCCAGAGTCAGAACTAAACATGGAGAAGTTCAGTTATTATGCTCCAAATATCTGGAACAAACTCCCAGAAACCTGCCGGTCCGCTGCAACTCTGACTACTTTTAAATCCAGGCTGAAGACTTTTCTTTTTGCTGCTGCTTTTAATTGAACTATTCACTTGTAGGCCTATTCATGTACCTGTGTTATTCATTGTGGGGGAAACTTCTGAAGCAATTGGAGTCAGGACTCAGAGAGACACGAGGAGAGCTGGAGCTTTGATGGCAAACACTGACGGTTTATTTGGAGTTTCGGCCGGTGAATTCACAAGACATGTCACGGGTCTGACCACACGGTTGAGATGCCACAATCAATTCTGAAGACCTCTCCTGTAGCTCCAGGTTTTAATTAGTTCAGAGTGTAATAATCTACATTGTCGCTTATGGCTCGGGGTCATCTACACCCCGAGAAGGATGTGTTCCAGGTGTCCCATAACAATAACTATCTCTGACCGAGAGTTGCCCGGTCATAAATTGGTCACAAAAACTTGCTAGGGCAGCCCCTCCTTAAGGTAGATAGCGGCTGCTCGAGGTTGGTCATCTGCGTCAGAGGGCAAAAGGTAAAAATACAGAATTATTCCCTGACATTCATGTTAAATGCCATTTAATAATATGTTTCTTATTGCTCTTAATGTCTTTCATTTTTGTAAAGCACTTTGAATTGCCTTGTGTTGAAAAGTGCTATGAATAAACGTGCCTTGCCTTGCCTGCACCCTATTTGCTTTCTCAGATCCACACACACCCTTTTTCCGAGTGTATTGTGTTTTTTAAGAAGTTCTGCACGTGGAACAGGACTTTGTGGCGTGGTTTTGTTGGTGTTGGGACGGTTAGGGTTAACAAGACTGGGCCTGTGGGAATCCTGCTAACCAAGTAAAGTGAGCTTTTAATGTGAATCCTGCAGGGAATGAGTGAAGTCAGGCGATAACCGTCAGTTTCTGTGTGTGTGTCTGTAAATGTGAATAATGTTAAGGAATAATAAGTCAGCAATTCCTCTTACACTTAACATCGACATGAGAATTTGAATTAAGAGATAATGTTGGGCCCTCTGCTACAAATGCACATGACAAACATACTTGACATGCTGTGTCTCAAACTTACATGTGCAACGTGAGTGCATATCATAGTTTTCTATCTGTGCTTTACATTTTTGTTTTAGGCTACTTTTATGTATGCACCACAACACCAAATCAAATTCCTCGTATTTGTCACCCTGGGAATAAACCTTTTTCTGATTCTGATTCATAATTGTGTATAAGTATGGCAAAATGCACTATGATCTACTACTTTCGCAACGATCAACAAGTTGAGCATGAAACGCTGGACAAATTGGCTTTGTACGTTTTGAGACATCATTACATGGTTTAGTTGAATACTCGATTCTGATTGGTCAATTCAGAACACGTGATGCGTTGTTAATCCAGAACAGACAGGCCGCTGTCAAGGATTTATTGACCGTTGTTAAGGATGTTTACATCTGCAGAAAGAAGTTCGGTCAATTTAACTGTTTACAGTGTAGCTGAACTGACAAGAAAACAGCGAAATCATGCCCATCTACTTCCGGTCCATGAAACAAAAAAACTGGGACAAGAAAAACAGCGGAGAAGTAATGGGGCAGAAACCCTCCTTTTTACGCAACGGTCCAGACATAGACATCAAACGGCGACACATATTCAGTAGCCAGTTACTTTGGCATTAGGGCAGGGATATCTAGATACTTTCCAAGGTTTGACATAAGGAATTATGCTACTTTTAAAGCAAGCAACGATGTTTTCAAATCTGTAATCAAAAAGCTCCTCAAAAGCGCTATCAAAGCAGTTCCTGCCGTTGCTACGTTAGTTCAATGAACTAACGTAGCAACGGCAGGAACTGCTTTGATAGCGCTTTTGAGGAGCTTTTTGATTACAGATTTGAAAACATCGTTGCTTGCTTTAAAAGTAGCANCAGTGAACAACAGATACCAAGGATGCTGGCTGATGAAGAAGACGAAGTAAGCTCGGTAGCCAATATAAGGTTTAGTCATCTTGCCAAATAGTGAGCGATTTTAGAACTGGTTTATAAATGGTTCTTAATGATTGTGTGTGAAGTGTTAACAACCTAATTATAAACCCTTTATGAATCCTTTAGAAATGTAGTCTAAAGCATAATCTAGAAGCTTCAGTAATGAACAATTACAGGCCCAATCAAACCTGCCATTTCTAGGTAAAATCATTGAAAAAGTCGTTTTTCAACAGTTGAGTAATGTCTTGCATTTAAATAACTGTTTCGATGTGTTCCAGTCAGGCTTTCGTCCAAACCACAGCACTGAGACTGCTCTTGTAAAGGTCTTCAATGACATCCACTTAAACACAGACAGTGGCAGAACGTCAGTGTTAGTATTATTAGATCTCAGTGCTGCGTTTGACACTGTTGACCACAACATATTACTAGACCGACTAGAAAACTGGGTGGGACTTTCTGCAACAGTTCTAAATTGGTTTGAATCCTACTTAAAGGACAGAAACAAATTTGTTTCTATAGGTAAATACACATCTGAGTTGACAAATATGACATGTGGGGTACCTCAAGGCTCCATCTTGGGGCCTCTTCTCTTTAACGTCTACATGCTACCACTGGCTCAGATAATGAAGAACAACAAAATAAGTTACCATAGCTATGCAGATGACACACAAATGTACGTAACAATTTCACCAGGAGACTATGCTCCAATTTAAACACTGAGTAAGTGCATTGAACAAATCAATGACTTTCTCCAATTGAACAAAGATAAAACTGAGGTAATGGTTTTTGGAGCCAAGGCAGAACGTTTAAAAGTTAGCGCAGAGCTTCAGTCTGCAATGCTCAAAACAACAGATAAATCCAGAAATCTAGGTGTAGTGATGGACTCTGACCTGAGTTTCAACAGTCACATTAAAACAGTTACTAAATCAGCCTACTATCACCTGAAGAATATATCTAGGATTAAAAGACTGATGTTACAACAGGATTTGGAAAAACTTGTAAATGCTTTTATCTTCAGTAGACTGGACTACTGTAATGGTGTCTTCACAGGTCTCACTAAAAAATCTATTAGAAAGCTGCAGCTGATTCAGAACACCGCTGCTCGAGTCCTCACTAACACTAAGAAATTGGATCACTCCTGTTCTGAAGTCTTTACACTGGCTTCCTGTGTGTCAAATAATTGATTTCAAAATATTGCTGCTGGTTTATAAAGCTTTGAATGGTTTAGGCCCAAAATACGTTTCTGATCTCCTGCTAAATTATGAACCATCCAGATCTCTCAGGTCTTCAGGGACTGGTCAGCTTTCTGTCCCCAGAGTCAGAACTAAACATGGAAAAGCAGCGTTCAGTTATTATGCTCCAAATATCTGGAACAAACTCCCAGAAACCTGCAGGTCCACTGCAACTCTTACTACTTTTAAATCCAGGCTGAAGACTTATCTTTTTGCCGCTGCTTTTAATTGAAACTGAGCGGTTGAGTTTCGTTTTTGGTTAATGAACATTTGGGGCTAGTAACCCCAGGGAATCAGTGTCTAGGGAGTTTGTCCTGGCGGATTTTCTCTGTATGTATGCTGCTCGGGAAGTATGTGCCATATTATAAGCGTACACAGCTCATGTTCGGAGAAACCTTAAAGAAAGGCATCAGTAAAGTGGAACTTCTGTGTGAACTATTCATATCTTAAACTGCACTGTAACTTTGTATTCATGTATTTTTTCTTTTAATGTTTATTCTATTTTCTTTTTAATGAAGGTTTTTAAATTCCTTTGTCTGAATGTCTTTCATTTTTGTAAAGCACCTTGAATTGCATTGTGTTGAAAGGTGCTCTATAAATAAACTTGCCTTGCCTTACCGTTTTTTTTAATACTCTGCACAAAGGCAAACAAAGTAAGCTTTGAATAGTTCTATCATCTGCATGCAAACATTATTTGATCATAATTATAACTTCAATCTCAATGGGCATTAAAGTTCAAACAAGATAAACATACGCTAAAAAGTAATTATTAACCTTAGAACAGTCATTCGGCAGAAAAATGTGCCCAAGATCTACTCACTACTTTTTTCCGGAGTTTTTTTAAATGACTTCTTATGGTTTTCCTTTGATTGAAAATTTAGTTTTTCACAGTTTTCAGTGCAGAGATGGGAGTTTCTTAGTCCACTTAAAAAAACGTAACACTTTTGTTAAGAAAAATGAATCAGAAAGCTACTGTAGTTAATATTCTTAGTATGAAATAAAATGAAAATATATCAAGAAAAGCCTGTCAGTCATTTACCTTTTGTAGATGTATTTTTCTTAGAATACGACAGTAGAGAGGTAACACATTGTAATCCATATTGAAAGACAAATTTGTCCTGCAATGGGGACATTTACAGTATTACAACCATAGACTGTGATTACAACAGAAGCATAGTGGAGATAAAGTAAAAGATGAACGAAAAAGTAGACAAACGTTATTAATAATAAAAACACAATAAGTAAATTAAACAAAAACTAATTAGCAGTATATTTTTTAAAAGGTGACCATATACAATTATGGAAGTAGCTGGTACTGTTCACAGATTGTAAATTAGTTGAAGGAAAATGAACTACTGGCATATGTTGACATGGGGGCTTTTCTCCTCCCCTTGAACGTAACAGCTAGACATCGAACAGCTCACCAGCACTGCGTGAATCCGACATTTCCCACAGTCTGTGAAGGTAGCAGCTGCTCCATCCAGGACATCGATCCAGGAGCATCCAGTCCAGTAGACAAGGCCGACACTCACAAACACACACTTGGACGTAGTGAGGATTTAGCAGTCGATTCCATGCTACCCTGGATCCTGGAAATATCGTAAACAACAACAGGTATGCTATCGGGGTTGTGACAGTGTTGTACTGCGTTGCAATGAAGGGAAAAGCAGTCGCATCTTCCCATGAACGTGAAGCATCCGTTAGCTAATGGGCTGGACGCTCGGCTAACAAGGCTAGCTGTAGTTAGCTAGCTCAAACGCCAGATAGTGCATCAATTGTATTGGCTTTTTGTATTATTTGTAGCATAAAAGCTAATACTACTGTGGACCTTTTAGTTATAATAACAATAAGAGGTGTATGACTCAACGTGAAGCTGTGACACATTACTGTTTGTACTGCTGAATCAAATTCTACTTTTTGTTTAATTTTAATGTAATATAATACAAATGGTATAGCTAGCTAACACAAATATCATCATACTGATGGTTGTTTAGTTGAGTTTTATTCTTCAAACACATTAATCAGTTTGTAGCCTATGATCTGCTTAATGTGTATACATGTTTTGTTTTATTATAATTGCCCCAAATGAACTCAAACTAAACTAAACAACAAACAGGATATTCTGGCCTTTTTAAATATTTACTTAGAGATAAATGTTGGCTTAAATGACTGTCTGCTCTTTAACTGGGACCAAAAGAGCTCAGGGTGATCTTGACTGTAAGCTATATTTGCTTAACAAACAAAACATGTTGACTTTATGGAAGTGGTCCTATCATAGGCCTCATATAATCAGAAGTACAGTGAGTGCTAATGTTTCTCTCATAGACTGTATATATTTTTTTTCTCTATAGAGTTTACACATTAGCTGCTGCAGGTCAGAGGTGTTCTGCTTGTTAAGCATTGAAACATAACCAGGCCTGCCTCATAAAACACTGTACATATATTGGGCAATGGCTTACAGTGGCTTTATAGTTGTGTACTTGGAATATCTGGATATAAATGGATGTACCCCTCAATAAAAGACTCTCCTGACATTAGCATTCCTCCACTGAAGAGAGTAACTTTAAAAATAGATTGTTATCAACAAAGATATATTGTGTTTTTCAGTAAACCAGCTTAAAGACCAGCAGATTATAATGTTTTATACAGTTTAATGAAGTGATAAAAAAGACGATGGTTATTTTGCAAGAGATGTGTATCTAGGGAGCTTCACAGTCTTTTTGTCTTTTCAAATCTTCAACGAAAGTCCTACCTGTGGACTGCCGTTACTGTAATAAGAACATCTGCGCATATTCAAAAGAAAACCAATTTAGCCCAATTCTTCAACTGGAGAACACCTGAGTGAACAACCAATCAAAAGTGTTTGCTCAAATAATGTCCAGCTAAACAAAATATACTTTAAACAATTTCATCCAAAAAAGGGCATATGGAATATCTGGAAATCCAGAAAAAGAATCTCGAATTTCGGATCATGTGTGTCACTGTCTCTTGCATTATATGATTCCCTACAGAGGTGTTCACCTTTCACCTAGTTAACACACACTGTGCCTGACCCAATTTCTCCTCTTTCTGTTCTCTCTAATGTTGATCTGCTATCTTTCTGTCTGGCAGTTTTAAAAAAAAAAGAAGGATGCCAAGTTGTTTAGGTGTTCAGCGCTGAACTGAGCAGGTTATTTGGTAGGGCTGCACAACATTGAACTGCAGTTGCAAATTGCAGTATTTAAATATCAGGAAGCACAATATTAAAAGCTAATTATGTGATAAAAGGCCCTTTTGCTACAGAAAAATATCCCGGCCTGCAAATAGTATTCTACAGACTTAACAGAAGTTAGATTTGTTTTGTAAGAATCTGATTTAAAATTAACGCCATGGTTATTTGGAATATTTTTTAATGCAATGAGAATTTTGACTACAAACGGATTCTTCCCTCTTAAATCCTGAATTATACCGCAATTGTATTCAGTCAGAATGAATCGCAATGAGTTACTTTTTTCCAAATTGTGCTCCCCTATAGTTTTGGGAACAGGCACGACTGTATCTGCCAGATCCGACCTCAAGGGCAGCTCCTCAATGCAAGCAAGGGACGATGAGGGAGTTATGTTTGTGTGTGTGTGTTTGCTATTGTCAAACACACAGCAAGAGCAGACATGGCCTCCACAGGGCGCAGTCCAGTGTCAGAGTGACTCAACCTCAGGGCATCATCCATAGCCTATTTGTGGAGGAAAATCAATTTCCCTTTGTGGAGTGAAGCAGTTGTTGCCCTCAACAAATATACCGAATCCCATCAGCCGCCAGTCAGGGCTTTCCCCCACAACTCCATCAGTTTCTCTAAATTCTAAAATGACCCATAAAGAATGTGTCTCTTTTTGAGCTTCTGTTAAAATCATGCATTGAATGAAAGTGTTTTACCCGGAGAACACACACATATTTGGCATTTAATCATCCGTGTGTCCTTTCTACCGCCTTCAGAGCTCAGTTTCCCACCAGCTGCTGCACACAGGAATCGTGATCTGAAAGCGTTAGTTAGCCTATGTTGGCCTTCTTGTTTATTTTTCTTGTTGGATAGCTGCGTGCACTTCTCAGTATTGTATTCTCCCCCCTAAGTATCTAAATGTCACATTTATCGCCTCATTAGAAACGTGAGGATTGTGTCTAACCACAAACCCCCGAGCTGGCAGGACTTTCACTTCACCAGCGAAGGACGGATGTTAGTGTTAAGGTTACATCTTTACTTGAGCAGTCAACCTTAGAATTATCTGCGTTGTCTGACAGAATATTTAATTAGTTTTTACAAAATATGTTGCTGGTTATCATCTCTGGATTTGAGGAGGCATGCACATCAGTGTATTTGTACATCTGGGAAGGGCTACATTTAAATGTTTGAGAATGATCAATTACAATGGGTCTTAAAGGAGTAAAAACGGAACCAAAAATCTGATTTAAAAGAAGTAGCTTGGAACTATAACATTATGTATAACTAAAGCTCGTTTGTGTACATATGCTAAAGCATGTTAAATGAATCATAATGTTCTATGTTTCTTAATCATTTTCACAATCTGAATGTGCGCAGTATTCGATACCTCTATCCTACACACATTTTAAGTCAGGGTTTTTTCAATACAGGAGATATGAAATGCACATTGTATGAAATCCGTCAACTTTAATATTGAGGTATACCGCTTTACTGATACGGCACTATTTTTGTCCTCAAGTCTTTGGCTAATTGACAGTTAAAGAAAACGTTTCCTGTGTCTTCTCTTCTGTTCCTCTCACCGTGCTCAGTCATCATGGCTGAAGCCCACCAGGCCGTGGCCTTCCAGTTCACGGTCACTCGAGAGGGCATCGATCTGCGGCTGTCCCACCAGGCCTTCACTGAGATCTACCTGTCCGGTGTGCGCTCCTGGAAGAAACGCATCATTGGACTCAAGGTACCTTCACTCTGGCTGACGCACTTGTTTGTAGTACCCTTAAACTGTCTCTAATGATCACATAGTTCTCGCTGTCATTACTATGTTTGCTTCACTCTACATGTCAGCACCCGCAGCTCATTGTAGGCTGCTCCTTTGCAAGAATACAGAGAATAAAAGTTACTTGTATTTTATTTCAATAATTGAAATAAACTCAGGCTTTATGCTACAGGGTTGTCTTGAAATGTTAGTTGATGGAAATGTTGTGTTAGTTTTGCTTGTATGATCCTTTATAAAGGGCACTTCTGAAAAAGACGGCTTACTGATAGTGATGTTTCTTTTAAGGATGCATGTGGGTATCCTCAAGTCTTTGTTTGATCACGCATTGATTTTTTGGGAGCAATGTGGATAATAATTAAAGGGATTTTTTTTTATCTGTGAGCATTTCATACCAACTCCTGCTGCAATAGCTTTAAAGTGAAAGTTAAATTCAAAGTGGTTAGACGTGTAAGTCAGGTTAGTGTCGGAAAATGAGCGAAATGCAGGTAAGACCTTAGTATGTAGGTACTCTTGATCATAACTGCATGTCAGTGTGCTGACTGTAAACAGGAAGAATGGCACTTCAAATCAATCTTTCTCTCCTCTTGTTTACAGAACAGCGTGGTGACGGGGGTTTACCCTGCCAGTCCTTCCTCCTGGCTGTTTGTCGTCATAGCGATTCTGGCTACTATGTACACACGCTCCGACCCCTCCATGGGACTCATAGCCAAGATACAGGAGAACCTGCCCGTCAGGTAACACGTCTCGTGACTTTATGAGATGGGTAATGATTCATCTTCAGCCGCGGACACACAATATTCCCTTTCCCTGATTGTACATTGTGTCACAGAGAGATGTACAGTATAGTGTGTGTGGTTTAAACAGGCCTCCCCGCTTCCCATTGTTAACTAATAGTCTCCTGTCATACATGTATTTGTTTCTTTTTGTCTCTTGCTTACACGAGAGGGTTGTGTATAGCTATACATAGGCTGGGCAATATATCTATATTGTATATATATCATGATGTGAGACTAGATATCCATTTAGATTTGTTATCATAATATAGTTAGTGCTGTATTTCCTTCTGTTTAATAGTCTGAAATACTATATAGTATTTACATTTTTGTGATGACTCTGTTAGCTCTTCTATTATTTTCCTCTTACCAATATGTCATTAAAGGGGCCCTATCATGTTCATATTTGTATTTCATGCCTATACTGTGACATGTTTGCATACTTTAATGTTAAAAAAGGTCTTTATTGATCTGATACTGCCTGTGCTGCAGCACCTCTTTTCACCCTCTGTCTGAAACCAGAGCCTAGTCTGCTCTGATTGGTTAGCTGGCTGGCTCTGTTGTGATTGGTCAACCGCTTAGAGATGGGATTTTAGCCCTTGCAGACCATTTACATGCACAAAAACCCATATAACACATTACCGGAAACGGAAAACCCCAAACGCAGAATTGGGCCACATTAAATCCACATTACTGATGATTATTTATCAGAAATCTCATTTTGTAAATATTTCGTAAAATGATCAATGGTCAACCATACAATATCGCCAAAATATCGATATAGAGGAATTTGATCAAAAAGGTAGATTTTTCTTTTTCTGTTTAAGTTCTATTTGTATTCACTGTTCTTCTTTTGTCCCTCTGTGTATTTGCAGCCAGTCCATGAGTAACCAGTGCCAGACGTTGGTGTCAGCATTGCTCTTCAGCACCATGCTGTGGCTCCTGCTCATCTTCACCATGCGCATGTGCCTCAAGCAGCTGCTCTCCTACCACCGCTGGATGTTCGAGAAGCACGGCAAGATGTCCACCACCACCAAAGTCTGGGTGGTCAGTGCCGCTTCATACCCATTTCAATTGGTTGCTGTTGACTAATTCAGACTTTCACTACTTTCAGCCTATGCTGTTCTTAAAAATACAATAAGTATAGTGTCGTGTTTCACGCTCACTGGGAACAAGGTCATGTTGTTCAAGAAATTCTTATTTCATATAATATATTTTACACTTATATAAAAAGAAGACTGGAAAACAAATCATGTAATCACCTTTATAATAGCTTTTTTGATGTATTTGTAAAACAGTAATTATAAATGTTTCAACAATATTAAGACAAAATCAAGACGGCAAGAAAAAACTGTACTACTGAAGGGGTATACGAAAAAGAAAAAAATGTAATGTGCAAATAAAAAATAAAAACGGTAATAAATTCAAGTGCTTTCTTATGGTTTTGGGAATGTCAAAGCATATAAATATATACGATGTTTAAGATATGTAGTACCAACCATGTGTGCCCTGTGCCCTCCCTTTAATATTGTGTGTTTAGCCTCTCTGTATTGGTGTGTTTCTCTGCCAGGCGCTGGTGCGGATCTTCTCTGGCAGGAAGCCGCTGCTCTACAGCTACCAGGGCTCGCTGCCAAACCTTCCTGTGCCGGCCATCAAGGACACAGTGAAGAGGGTGAGGCGTCACATGAAGCAGAGGAAGTGAACACACGCTGATAACTGAACATTAAACAGATGGATCCCTCCTCACTATCAGCATCTTCTTCCTCTTTATCATCACATTTCCTTTGTTTATGTCTGGCTCCAAGCTAGTTGAGATATATTTGACAAAATAAGAGATTTTGTGTTAGATAAGCGGAATTAGTTGTGTTTGTGTTGTTATAAGACTTCCACATTACCAACTGCAGGCTTTCATTGATGTATATTCATTGATTTACTAACCTTTTTCTGTTTCCATATTTCTTTTTCTTTATTTTGAGTCCTCTGAATGACACTTACTCTTGTTTTCTTTGCACATCTTCTCTGTTCAGCACTTGGAATCGGTGCGTCCTCTGATGGACGACACAGAGTTTGAACGCATGACCCAGCTGGCGTCAGAGTTTGAGAGCAAGCTGGGTAACCGGCTGCAGTGGTACCTCAAACTCAAAGCCCTCTGGGCCACCAACTACGTAAGTGGACCACCGCAGCGTTTAACTGTGACCACTTCAAACGTCACTCAAATGTTCAAAGCAAAGCAGGGAAAAGGACATTTAAAATTCCATTAAAAATGTATATCTTTGTGAGGCTCTGTGGTTTAAATAATTCATCCTGTCCGAGTATGTAAGTGATGTGTTTGCCCGTTGGCTGAAGGATTAGCTTTCTCACCATTTCTTCGTGTTTGAATCCTCCAGGTTAGTGACTGGTGGGAGGAATATGTCTATCTACGTGGACGAAGCCCAATAATGGTCAACAGTAACTATTACGGCATGGTAGGAAAATCGTTTTGTTTTAAGAAAATGTCTAAAACAACCTGCTGTTATCCCAATGTATATTTGACTCTAATGAAATGGCTTGGTTGTAATAGTCGATTCTGATTGGTCGAGTAAAGCAGCCATACAGTCTGTTATTTTTCAATAGCAGACTGTTGCTATGTACGCAGTTCAATCTCCTGTCAAAGCAAGGGGAACATTTTTTTCAGTGGAAGCATTTATAAAAAAAATTACCAATCAATAATTTGTGTCAAATTAGTGATCTCCTTAGTAGCCCTGTATTAATGCGTCCTGCTTTATGACAATAATGATCAGCTCGCAGTACATTGTCCCCTATCTTAATGGTGGACATGTTGACTTTAACCAGTTAATTTATTCAGTTTGATGGCATTTAAGATATTCAATAATTTATTTTGTGACTCATTTGTGTGTGTTTGTCATATGCAGAGATGTTAGTGTATATATCATTGGACTTTTCATTAAATCTATATCTTTTGGAACTATTTCCTTGATCAGTTAAACATACATGTGTTAAACATATGTAGCTACTAATGTAAGACAGCAAACTACACCCAACTTCTCAGATGTACTTATGGATCCCTTTTGTTTCAATGAAAGTGACCCGTGTTCATCCTTCTCCTGACTTCCTGTTTCTGTGCCCTCTCTCTCTCCAGGACTTCATGTACGTGACGCCCACGCCCATCCAGGCGGCTCGGGCCGGCAACAGCCTCCACGCACACTTCCTCTACCGCCGGAAACTCAACAAAGAGGAGCTCAGACCTGTGAGTTTGACCTACAAGTCAACCATTTATAAGGAGGCGTTCATTATTCATGTCTTTTTGCTATTGTAACAGAAACAATGGGATATTTCTTAGCTAAAATATATGATTATTACAATACAGATGTTTGAGAGCATCAGTTTGTGTTTTGAATGTGTGAGTGACATCCATCCATGGCAGTTTGTGTGTATGCCTGTTAATGATAAGAAAGTGTGTGCATCTCCATTTAGTTGTTTAGCTTTTGTAGAGACATTTCCCTCATGTTCTCATACCATGCTCATCTCTCCCCCCCCCCCCTTCCTTTTGTACTCTTTTCACTCGCTTGATTTCTCTTCATCTACTTCCCTTGTTTCCTCTTTTTTCGCTCGATTCTACGTTCCCTCCTCTGCTCTCGCCTCTCCGTTTCCCAGACCCGCATACCAGGCACTGTCATTCCCCTGTGTTCAGCTCAGTGTGAGAGGCTTTTCAACAGCACACGCATTCCTGGAGAGGAGACCGGTAAAGAGACTGACACGCACATCAGACACACGCTGTGGCGACGTGACGTTTCTCGCTGTGCTGATATGTGATCCAGTCTGAACTCGTAGCTTCTGAAAAATGCCAGCACACTGCTTGCCTCAGAGCGGATGACGCGAACTGAAGGTGTCTGAGCCCTATAGGACAGTGTGTGTGTGACTGAGTCATAATATGTCTGCTGCAGAGGCCGACCTGTCTTCTCTCATCTGTCTCCTCTCGCCTGCTGCTCTCATTGTCTGGGTTTCTGTCTCTAACTAATATCTCTTTTCTTCTGCCCACACATTTTTTATTTTCTCACCTTTTTCTTCCTCACCCTGTTGCATCCCAACACTCCTTGTCTTTTTTTCCTTTCTTCTTGCACCGGGCCTTCCTTCTTTTCCCCGCTCAGTTGATGATGAGGTCTGCAGTTCCTTGCTGTTCCTATCAATTTGAGCAGATGTTTGCCACTTGTCGAATCCCTGGAAGACTAACAGGTAGTATTTATATTTGTACACAACTGGCCCAATCATATTTTAACCAATAATAATAATAACACTGGAAATGTGTTTGAGATTTTCAAGATGATCAGTCAAGTAGAGTCAGATCACACGACCTCTCTCGACAAAACACAAGCACATTGTCTATGTAGTATATTTATTCTTTTTGTGTGTCATTTTATCTAAATAATGTCACCAGGACATGTTGCCGATACAGTTGTGTACTGCATTTCGAAAACAAACTGAAAACTCAAGTCAGAAAAATGCAATGCCTGTAGGACAGAGAAGATGCCCCAAAAAATAAACAAAACCTATGCACAAGAATACAGATACATCCCTTCATTTCATGTATTTCTATGTGTGTGACTTGCCTCAATTAACCAAATATGTGTATTTCCTTTTCTGTGGGAAGACACCGTGCAGCATTGGCAGGACAGTGACTACATCGCGGTGTACCACAACGGGCGCTACTTCCGGCTCAGGATGTACCAGGCAGGCCGGCTCCTGTCGCCCCGGGAGATCGAAACCCAAATTCAGAGGATCCTGGATGACCCCTCAGCTCCTTCAACAGGAGAGGCCAAACTGGGGGCCCTGACCGCTGGAGACAGGTCAGTTTGAGAAGCCACCGGAGATCATATCACATATCGCTCTGCAACCCTCATGTCTTACCATCATCTCCTCCCTCCCAGAATTCCATGGGCCGAAGCCAGGATGAAGTATTTCAGCAGCGGGGTGAACAAACGCTCTCTGGACTGCATAGAGAAAGCCGCCTTCTTTGTGTCCCTGGATGACGAGGAGCAGGGCGTGATCGCAGACGACCCAGCTAGTTTAGATGCATACGCCAAATCCCTGTTGCATGGGAAATGTTATGACAGGTCATTTTACGCCTCATTAATCACTGTCCTGTGAACGTGTAAGAAGTTCGGTTTTCCTTTTAATGTTATGTTGTTTTACCTTCATTGACATGCAGGTGGTTTGACAAATCCTTCACAGTTATTTTCTACAAGAACGGAAAAATGGGCGTGAATGGAGAGCACTCGTGGGCCGATGCTCCGGTGTTGTCACACTTGTGGCAGGTGAGGAACATGAGAGAAAAGTCCACACTGTTTTCTTTCTGAGAGGTCATCACTTATTGTGATTTATTGTTTGTTTCCAGCAAACCTTGTCCACTGACTGCTTTCAGCTCGGTTACAATGCAGAGGGTCACTGCAAAGGAGAGGTGGACTCATCTCTCCCCCCGCCACAGAAGCTCAGCTGGGAAATCTCTCCAGAGGTGAGTCATCCAGTCACACACTTCACTTACTTCCCTTAGTTTTTAGCTTCACAAAACAGGCTCCTGCTCCTGTGTTGGCAGCAACCCCTATTAGCTTTTTATGCATGCATCAAAAGTGAAATGAAATGATAATGCTTAAATTCTAAAATCAAAATCACTGCTAATGAGGTTATTCTAACAGCTGCCTAATTAACCTAAACAATAAGGCAATTTCTCATTGTTTTAACCTTATATTGAATTTTGATCAGGTGTTTTCAAGGAATTATTTTAATGTTCAACTGCGCAATTGCTTTGAATGTATTTTTTATTATATATCTTATGTTTTGTTGTTTATTTATGTAGTTATGCCTTTTGATATGTTGTATTTATCAGGATGCATCGGTTTAATTCTGTATTTTTGTCTGTTTAAGTGTAATTTAGTTTATTGTTTCATTTTGATAATTGGTGACTTGTGTCACGTTTTGTTTTAATAAATGTATTTTTTTTTAATGGTTTTAAACACAAAAATAAAAATGTTCTAAAACAAATATAGCACAATACTTTTTATACATATATTTCATGTTTATGAAATTTTAAAAGCTTTGAAATGCTGCTAATTATTTGAAGTAACAACATGGACATTGTCTTTGCTTATCAGGGGATACAACATTATTTTGAAAGCACACTGAGTGCAGTGGTGTCAGTATCTCCGTCCTGTTGATGTAAACTGTCTGCCTGTGTGTCTCAGTGTGAGGAGCAGATCTCACAGTCTCTGGCTGTGGCCCAGGCCCTCGCTGATGATGTTGATATTCACGTTTTTGCCTACCAAGAATTTGGCAAAGGGAGGATCAAGAAGTGCCGAGTCAGTCCAGACGCCTTCATCCAGATGGTTCTGCAGCTGGCCTACTACAGGGTGAGCCTCTCTCTGAAGCGCTGTGGACTACATTACATTTAATGTGCCACCGTCAACTTTATCTGTGAATTTTGTTTTGTCTTTCCAGGACCAGAGGAGATTCTGTTTGACGTACGAAGCCTCCATGACCCGTCTGTTTAAGGAGGGCAGGACGGAGACGGTGCGCTCCTGCTCCAACGAGAGCAGTGCCTTTGTCCGAGCGCTTGAGAATGGAGAGGTGAGACCATGGAAACCGTCTCTTTGATATCATTATTTTATACAGTGTAAGAAAAGTATTATTAAATATAGGACCTGTTTGAGTGTGAATTGCTATTTTCCTCGCATAAATCATACCGTTTCTATGCAAAGCAGTCATGCCGCTCTTGCCTTTCCCCTCCAGCCGTCGCATGTGTGCAGGCATTTGTTCCAGGAAGCGTCAGAAAAGCACCAGAATCTGTATCGCCTGGCTATGACTGGATCTGGCATCGACAGACATCTGTTCTGCCTCTACGTGGTGTCCAAATACCTCGGAGTGGAGTCTCCCTTCTTGAAAGAGGTTCATTTCTCCCCTCTGGCATTTTCATATTTATAACAAGTTCAGTTCATTATTCAATTTAATATCTACGTGTTTCAGGTGCTGTCCGAGCCCTGGCGGCTGTCCACCAGTCAGTCTCCGATGCACGTGGAGATGTTTGATATCGTCAACCACCCAGAGTACGTCTCCTGTGGAGGGGGCTTTGGACCGGTCAGTGCTTCTCTCACAAAGTTACTAAACTGTTTGATGGTTGTCCTGGAAACAATAAATAAACAGGGCTGTACCAAATAGCTTCAAATGTCATCAAAATATTGACAAATGCAAATTATTTTTTTTTTTTTAAACCCTGTATTTCTGCTACACTGACCCATGTATGACCACAATAACAAAAAACAAAAATTCCAGTGATGATTGAAAGCTCATAATAAGCTTTATTGAAAAAGACTTGGTACAGCCCTAGAAATAAACTTACAATTGCTATGCCATTTTACTGGTTTTATTTACTAGTCTTTCCCTTTTTCTTCAGTCTTGAACCTGTAAAATAAAACATGCCAACATTTTTAGTACTTATTTTCTTTCTCATATTAACAGACACAACCCAGCTACTTTTTTGAATGAAAGTGGCTCTGTGTTCTTGTAGTCATTAAGCAGCCACGAGTATAAATATAGTGTTTGTCTCTTTCAGGTGGCTGATGACGGTTATGGGGTATCCTACTCCTTTATGGGGGATAACATATTGAACTTCCACATCTCGTGCAAGCACTCGTGTCCAGAAACTGTGAGTTCAATAAAAGGAGTAATGCAATACAATAAACAGAAACTGCTCTACATAAGTAACATTTAAAGGGGACCTTTAATGCAACGGAGCTGATCCGGTATGATGTAATATCGGAAATGTGGACGCACGGCCCTATCAGAAACGTTGCTATCAGAAACAATGCCCGACAGTTTTGGACGTAATATGGTCTTTGTTTACATTAGCAAGCATCGCCAACACTCATAGACATGTTTTTTTATATATTTGTATATATCTGAGACCCATAACACATTCCTTTTTTAAATAGCATAATAGGAGACCTTTAAATACTGCTTTTATTGATAAAGGAAATAAAAAAAATCTACTTTTATGCAGAATAGGATTTAAATACTTGAGACATGATTAATTGTTTTGAGCACAGCTTTTTTAACGCCCAGGGTAGTAAGGTTTTTGAGATGTACAGATGAATACAGGTGAAATCAGATCTTATTGGATGAGGTTGTGTGAAATGCTAATTCTTATTTGCTCTGTCTGCCCTGCAGGATGCACATAAGTTTGGCGATCAGATCAGAACAGCGCTGCAGGACCTGCTCCAGCTGCTGAGCCCCATCCGAACAGAGTGCCACAGGGCGGAGGGGGGGGGGCCCGACGTGAAGAAACACCTGTAGGCGAGACTCAGGGCAAAGGGAAGCAGAAGGAAAAGTCTGCAAGCATAACATTAGGAAGTGAGGAAAGACGTGTATTTTTTTCCTCATGAATTAGGAGAATTTTATAGCCAGATGATATTCAAGGGACACTTCCATTGGGGAACTGATCAAGTGGAGGAGATGTTTTTACCAGTGTGTAAATAAGCTCTTTGATAGGTGTGTGAGGAGGAAAAAAGTCCGTAGATTAACAAATGAAGAGTACAGTATGTTTTTTTTATTTGTTATAACAACAAAACTATTAGAAGTTGTTTTTGTGACATGTTATAAAAAGGCCATTATGAATCGCACCACTAACTGTTAGGGTAGAAATCCCTAACGCATATTAATTGCAGGGAGTAATTTAATATAAAGTCAAAGATTGCCACTTTTTGTGCCACTTCATTTTCTGTCGTTGAATTTGTTGCGTGTGATGCATCTCGCCGCAGTATACTCAGTTTCAACCGCCCGAATGCATCATCGCTGTAGCAGTGACACACACAAACATCTCGGAGGTCTGTGACTTCTCAGTGTTAACTCATTATGTAATTAATAATACTTTTTCTACAAAAACATGATTGTAATGCGTTGCTGGGAATGCCAGGTGGTGAAATAACAAATCCACAGGTTGGCATTACTGTTTGGTTGGTATTATATTCAGGAAATAACTCATTTTATGTTTTCACCCATTCAAAATATAAAGGTCAGTTTGCTCTCATCGCTCAGTTGGTTAAAGACTCTACTGTAACAAACTCCAGATATTTCACTGCCACCTTAAATCTGTTTTGTATTTTGTTTTTACCACTGTATTATTACGGAAGCACCATAACAGTACAAGCTATAGTTATGTACATCATATGCAGGTATTTAGTCTCGAGCAGTGCTGCAGGTCAGATGATGTGGATTACATCTGATTCCTCTGTCATTTTTCATCGAGTATTGCCTTTTCACTCAAGCTTGTCTCGCTGTATTACTATTGTCAGCCTTTTTAATGCAATATAACGGGGGAACATAAAGTTATTCATAAAGAAAAAAAATGTGAAGTGTTTGTTTTTGATGCCTTAACCCTCCTGTTGCATCCGCCCACCTTATCGCCTGAATCTCCTCCTACAGCAGGGGTGTCAAACTCAATTTCATCATGGGCCACATTAGCATCATGGTTGCACTCAAAGGGTCGGTTGTAACTTTCAATCTCAGTCTCAATCTTTATTTATTTATATTGCACATTTAAAACAACCTCAGTTGACCAAAGTGCTCTACAGGGAACACATATAACATAACACAATAGGAGTAAAATAATTAAACAAGATAAAAAGCACAATAACTAGAAACATATAAAAACAAACATATCAAAATGTTATGTTCAACTAGTATTAAAAGCCAGTGCTAAACTTTAAGACCATATAAATACATCTATAAATATATCAAATAATGTATCATATTACATTATTGCCTCTGCGTTGGATTATTATCAGATAGGGTAACAACTTCATAATTAACTACGTCTGAAAAGCAGAAGTCTAGGGCAAGTCTCTTCAGTGTGCACGTCACAAAATTAGATGGATTGTGGGACATGTAGTTTATGGACAATGTGCTTCTGTAATGCGGCATTCAACCGTATAATAAACATATTGTATTCTTTCAGAGCTCTTGCGGGCCACAGAAAATGAAGTCACGGGCCGGATTTGTCCCCCGGGGCTTTGAGTTTGTAACCCCTGTCTCGAGCACTATTGTGTTTTTTTTAACCAATCAGCTTTCAGAGGGGCGTGGCCAGCAGCAGCTCATTTGCATTTAAAGCTACAGACACATAATCAGCACTTTTGAAACAGGGCTGAAACAGAGGGGATTATGGGATGCTGCAATGATCTGTTTGGTCTTTCGAGCCAAACACTTCAGAGACATGTTTTGTATATATCTGAGACCTATAATATATTGATGAAAAACAGTATAATAGGGGACCTTTAAAATAACTTGTATTTGCCAAATGCATCAGAAAGCACTTTTCAAAAGGAAGCATAAAGTGCATACAGAAGCTCAGGAGTAAATGTAATGTCTTGTCTGGCACTGCAGATCATTTCACAATAGCCTCTTCTTCATTAGTTTTCTTTTTCTCTTTTTCTCTTTTTCATGGAAAATCTTCCCATCTTGGACTCCACTGAAGGTCGAGCCCCTGGTACTTCGGTTTGAGCTATTTAACCTGTTAAGCCCTGAGCCTGTTTTTCAGGTCTCAGGCTCGAAAATAACATTCCCAGAACAAATGACCATATCTTCCCTTCTAAAAGGATTACATTAATAATCTTTTTTCTCAAAGTAATGATAAAACTGTGAGTTGGATGTAGCATAGTCAGAATCAATATAGCCTAGATGTTTTTTATTTAAAAAAAAATTCAGATTGAACATAGTAAAAAACTGTAAATTAGAGTGTCTGTCCAAAAATTATTTTTTACTTATAGTGAAAACTACTCTTGAAGGATGGTAAGGTAGACTAAAAGCTTTAGGAATCCAAAGTATAACATATATGAGTACCCTGTATCAAGATTGATGCAAAACAAGTGACATTCGACCTTTTTAGAGAGATTTAGCACAAAAAAACACTTCTGGGGTCATTTGGGTGGATTTTCCATATCTCTGGCCCCCCTTGGTCGATTTTG